GCCTATGGCTCTCTGAGGCCCTTTATGCTGTGTTCTGCTCTGGAAGCCCAGGCCACACTGTGCAGGTGACCTGGGAGAGCCCTCTTACTGACCTTTAGGACTCTGAGGCTCTCTGTGGGTCATCTGCTACTGAAAGGTGCCCTTCTCTGCAATTTCTGAGCCCAGAAGAAGGGGTTTCTGGGCCTGGAATTGTGGCTTAGGAAAGAATGCTTGCCTAGCATGCATGAGGCACTGGGTTCAACCCTTAGCACCACATAAAATGAAAATAAAGGTATTGTGTCCACATACAACTAAACAACGAATGTTAAAAAAAATGTTTTCCTGTCACTCACTATAAGAGGCTTGTGGATCCTGGGGCGCCCCATCAACTGATAGATAGAGTGGAGGTAGGTGTCTCTTGTTTTCCTCCTGCCCATTATCTAGGAAGGGGTCATTCTTTCAACATTTAAATTAATACTAAAATGAAAACTTTGCAAGTCAGTAATATAAACCACCTCTGTAGTAGGCCAAGAAAGGAGGAGGAGAGGGAAGAGAGAGAAAAGAAAGGAAAAGAAAGCCCAATGTAGGGCTTGAGGGTAGCAGCCTTGTGTTCTTCCTCTTGCAGTAAGAACAAGCATGGCCTTTCTTGAGGCCACCGTGCAGTTGGGTCTCTCCTTGCAGTGTGAGAACAACAAGGACAGGTCTGTTCTGGTGGCACCTGTGTGCTCATTTCTGGTGTCCATCACTACCCAGGTTCCCCACCAAGACTCTGCATTTGTGATTGTTTCTGCTTGGGCCTACAAAGAGGTTGGCATGCCAAGCTTGAACCTGGCCCCCTTGGACATCCCACGGGCCCTGCCTTCCTCACCTGCAGGGGCTTTAGTGCACGAAGACCTCTGGGCTCTGAGCTCCAAGAAACTATGTCCTCAGGTTGGCAAGGCTGACCTACGCTTTCCTCCATGTGCTCTGCTTCTGCCCAAACAATGGGGAAAAAAAAATATTCAGAAGAGAGGAAAGACCTCAGAAACTATGGCTGCCTTTCTTGCATTTTGCTCTTTTGAGGAAATGTGTTCCACTCCTAAAATTTGGCTCTTTGTTTCCATGTGATATCAATGTGAGATACAATGTGTACACTCCTGGGTTTCCCGCCAGTAACACAGAGAGGAAGAGAGAGAGGAAAAAGGGATAAATTAAATCTGAAAATGAAGACCTGAGCCACTCACCCCATGGGCACCTTCTCTCTTCCAGAACTCAGTTTCCATGTCACAAGTCTTCCCCTTTCTGCTCCTCACTCAGTGTTGTTTCTACAGCGTTTCTTCATGGTATCCACTTGTCTGGGGCTCTTGGAGGCAAACCTCTGGCATCCTTGCCTAGGAAGGAGTTGGAAAACACCAAGGGCTCAGGGAAGCAGCAACATAGGCCCCAGGACTCTCGGGTGTCAGCCCAACTCACTTCCATCCCAGGCTCCCTGGACTCCTATTCCATTGGGACCCAGGCTCTAGGCAGGGTGGGCCCAGGGGGAGGCCTCCCTTAGGTGCAGTCCTTACACGGGGGGATCAGAGAGCTCAAGACTGAATGCTCTACAATCCCACCAGCAGTGACATGTGCATGGGAGGGACCATCAATTCTTCTCCTACAGTTGACAGATGTTCTCTCACGACTTCATCATCTCACCCTAGAGCACCAGCGTTTTCCCATATCACAGAATGGCCTGTGACAGCTTTCCCTGGCGTTACCCTGCATGTCTATGACTGCTTGTCACCTACAGATGGGTCATGTCTTTTCTCTTTGGTAACTAGGACATGAAACTTGCAAAGGATTCAGAAATCAGCCGTGTTCTGACGGAGAGAAAACCACCATCATCAGACATCATGTGAAACACCCATAATCTTTTGCTTACTCAACTCCAATTTTCCTCAACAATTCTGGGTGTTAGAATGTTTCCAGATAATTGCAAATATTTTCTCTTATTCTGCTAGCTGCCTCTTCATATTGTTGGTCAGCCCCTTTGAGGCAAAAGGAGATGACTTCCTGAGCATCCATCTGTCTTTTATTTCTGCTTTCAGCATTGTTTTCAAGAAACCACTCCCAAATCCAAGGATTGGAAGATTTATGCCTATATGTTCCTCTAAACTTACATAGGTTTGGCTTCTATAATAATACCACTGATACATTTTAAGCCAATTTTTTGCATAGGCTCCACCAAATAACAGGTTTCCAAACTGAGGTTTGAGTTGATCCTCCTGGGTCTTCTTGGTGCTTGTGTCTCTAGCACATTGGCTGCACTAGAAGAACTTCCAATTCTCTGCCTTCTCTTCTGACCACCCTAACCCTTAGACAATCGGCCTGCCTGTGACTTACTGCACACCCATCTGATGGGGCCCTATGCCACCTAGAACTGTCCTGCCTTTCTGTTCCACCTAGGGGCTGAAGGGATCTGAGCACAACACCATGGTGACTTCACGAAAGACATTGCTACCTCTTGCACCAAGGAACCTGAACAAGAAAGAAGTATCCACAAGCGCCTGCAGGATCCTTTCAGAGTTAAGTCCACACAGCTTGGCACCTAGGCCCCGCCCCATGACTTCCTGTGGGACCACCTCCTGGCTGCCCCTAGTTAGCTCTGGGCCCATCCTCTGCAGGTTCTGAGGTGAGGGAGCGCCAGTGCCCGGTCTACCTTAGGGCCCTAGGAGAAGAGAAGGGGGCCCAGAGCACAGCGGAAGCCTCTTAGAACAACCACCTGGCCACATTTGCTGAACAGCTAGGCCTCCTGGGAAGGAGGGTTGAATGGCGCTGGGTATCTAGAAACTGTTCCCGCACGATGGCAGTAGAGCTGCAGACATGGCCACCAGAACTCATCCTGACCGCCCTTCTCCCGCCCTTCCTGTCTGAAAAAAACGCCGCCCAGAGAAAAAGGCTCAGGAAACCTGGCTCCCTTCTTTTCTGCCCTTTGTGTTGTTGGAACAAGCTAGCCAGGATGTATTTTTTGTTTTGGAATTTGGATTGGGATTTCCAAAAACTTTTTCATTTCTTCGTTTTGAGACAGGATTTTGCATGCTGGCCAGACTGGCCTCCAACTTGAGACCTTCCTACCTTGGTCTCTAGCAGGGGACTGCTTTCAGGTTTCATCAGAAATCACACTGGGGCCTGAATCTACTCCTCCTTCCTGAGGACACCTGTCCTGGTGGAACTTCATTTCCAGAGGATCTGGTCCACTGGAGTGTGGCTCAGTGTTACAGGCTCTGCAGCTCACAAACAGCAAACAGCCATCAGAGGAAAAATCCCTGGGATGAAAGCAGACAACTGAGGAAGCTGCTCAAGCTGGAGGAGATCTTCTGTGGCCAACCAGTCACCAGCCCAGGTGGTCAGTGACCTGGCCATGCTCCCAGGGCAGTGGGGATTCCATCAGTCCTTTGGTTTCTCTTCTCCTGAACTCAATGGGGGGGGGGGGGAAAAATTTCCCATGAGAAATGGAGGAGGGCATGTGACTTGTATTTACTTTTGCCTTCATTTCCATCCTTTTCTTCTCATTAACAATTAACACTTTCCCATACCATTAAATGCACTTCTACTACTTACCTGCTCCCTGGGGTGTGTATCTTTATGTGTTTTCTGAATATTTTGTTCCTTATAAGTGATATTTCATCACATGGCTTACAGAATCATCTCATTGGCAGTTTTAGCTCTCTTCCTTCAACAGTATTTTCCCTTCAGTTCATTTTATTGATTGATTGATTGATTGATTTTGTACCGAGGACTCAATACGGGGATGCTGAACCACACAGCAACATACCCAGAACCCTCCCGGCCCTCGATCGATTAATTTTTTTTATCCTGACACAGGGTGTTACCAACTTCCTGAGGGCCTCACTGATTGCTGAGTCTGGCCTCAAGTTAACATTCCTCCTTCCTTGGCAGCTCATGTTGTGGGGATTATACTTGTGGGCCACAAAGCCCTACTCATTAGTGCTTTGAAGAGTGATGTTTGACAAGGGTCAGAAAATGAGCACGTGCCGAGAAAAAGAAAAGCACCAGCAGTAACCTTCCAGAGGACCCATTAACCTTTTGGATTCTTTCTATGTATACTGTTAAATCTATACCCACATTTGTGTAGAGTGAACCTCACTTGAGGGGAAAAAAATACTGTAATCAATTGGAATTAATGCCCCTATTATCATTTAGAGCACACTTCTGTTAGCACAGCTTTGAGGAGCTGAAGAACATGAACTCTCATGAATGTCATCCTTCCTAAAACTTTGTTTTACCACATTTGAAGCCCAAAGGAGAAAGGTGAAATTCCTAGCCAATAGGATCACAGGTATGCACCACTGACCTGGAGTTTTAATGGTATTGATGGAAACCTCAGCATGGAACAAACATTGAAATGACAGCATGACTTATCTCTGAAAGGGCAGTGTGTGTAGGGTCTGTGGGAGGTGAGTGGCTCATGAGGACCCTGCCTTCATGCAGAGATCAGTCCATTCATGGATTAATAGGTGGGCTCAGGAGTGACTTTGCTATCAGAGTCAACTCTCTCCAGCGGGACTGCTCTGTCTCATGATGGCCTCTTCTATGTTAGGATGTAGCCCAAAGACCCTCACCAATGGTCAAGCACATCCCCGGGCCATGTTCGTGGACGTTCCTGTCTCCAGCACCATGAGCTAAACAGATTGTATTCCTTTTTTATCTTTGGTACTGGACATTGAACTCAGGGGGACTTAACTACAGAGCAACATATCCAGTCATTTTCTTCAAATCATTAGGATTTTCTATTTTCGGACAGGATTTATCCAAGTTACCTAAGGGTCTCCCTAAGTCATAGCAAGATTACAATTTGCGATTGCCCTGCCTCAGCCACCCAGGCAGCCAAGATCGTAGGCATGTGCCAGGCACCTGGAGACACTTTATTATTTAGAAAATTCAACCTCCAGGTTTTTTTATTTTTATTTTTTAATTGTAGATGGACATAATAGCTCTATTTTATATGTTTAGTTTTCTTAATGTGGTGCTGGGGATGGAAACCAGTGCCTCACATGTGCTAGGCAAGCACTGTACCACTGAGCTACGACCTGGCCCTCTAGGATTACTATAGCAACAAAAAAAAGTTGCCTAAGATACGTGATTGATATACCTGTCAGCTCTATAGATTTTTTTTTCAAAATTATCAAATATTTTAGAAATAAAGTCAAACACACTTGACTTTTTCGTTTCTCTGATCTGGTGTTAGCTCTGAGAAACCGCTGGGTAAGTGACAGCAAGCAAACAATAAGGGAGTGCACAAGGTAGACTTGCAAATTAAATTCCCCAAAACCAGAGCAATAATGTCCTCTGAGGATTCTTGCTTTCGTTTAAATGCAAATGGAAAACAAAACCAGAAAGGAATGGGAGACTGAAGCAAGGACACCAAAAGATGAAAACCAGCCTGCTCAACCTACCTCAAAATTCAAAATTAAATCTGGTCGTGATGACACAGGCCTGTGATCCCCATGGCTCATGCCTGTGATCGCAGCGGCTCAGGACGCTGATACCTGAGGATCCTAAGTTCAAAGCCAACCTCAGGAAAAACTGAGACACTAAGCAACTCAGGGAGGCTCTGTCTGTAAATAAAAAAATACAAAATAAGGCTAGGGATGTGGCTCGGGAACCTTGAACTCAGTCTTTGGTACATCCCTTAGGAAAAAACTGAAATTTAAAAGAAAAAAAATTAATAACAATGAAACAATGCAAAAGAAAAAGGCACCATTGAGAATGTACTCCAACAATGGTAGCAAAACCCAAGGTGAATGTTCCCTGGTGACTTTGTCTCTGGCTGGCACTCGTGCAGAAAAGAAGGGCAGAGAAGAGCTCTCAGGATCCAGGCTGGTGGCCTTGGCTGGAGCA